GCGTAAGTGGTTAGCCTTGACTTCCATAATTTAAAGCCACACATGCTATTCAAAATGCAGTGTCCAATCCTGTGACAGCTTCTGCAGCCCCAAAGATGCTACAGGAACATAATGACATGGTGTAAAGGGCCAAAACCTGCAGGTGTTTTTCTGATGGGAGAATCTCCACCACACTCCAAAGCTTGCAGACTAGGAGACTATGGAGAAGAGGACCCACTGTCTATGCAGGATGTTTCCACATATATAGAAGGTACATACTCAGAATATTGTGTCAGGAAAAGCATCCTTGGACTTAACAGTATCTTCAGTATATGGTTTGTTCTCTTGGTGGTGAATAGATCGCGAAACAGCACCATCAACCCCTGCTTAGTTGAATCTGATCCATATAAATAAATAATAAATAAATAAACCCCTGATTAGCATGTGTTTAATAGTATACTCCCAACCCATATCATCCATAGTTAGAGGGCTTTCTTGCAGTCTCAGCACTGTGCTCTTAACCATTTATTTTATTGGAAGAAGAGAGTAATTCTTGCCAAAGCTACAGCTGAGTCACTAGTGAAGATAATATAAATTCTAAATTCAACTGGTTTTGTTTTTCTTCCTACAGCTAAAGGAAGTCAATATTCTACAGTGAGGAGAGGATGGTAGGCTAAAACAAGAGTGAAGAGAGAAATTATTTATTTAGAACACGTTAGGAACACTGTTCACAGTACATTGTAACAGGGTGACTACATAATGGAGTGATCATGAAAGGGTGACTTAAAAAAGCCATGAAAAGGCAAAGCGAAGATTATAGGCTAGTTGTGGAAACTGGCGGGTTTTTTCCTCCCATAAGCAAAACTCTGCAAATAAAGACTGTCTCATACTATTTCTGCACAGGTAAAAGATTGATTTACTCAATCTGTACATCTTCTTTATTTTGTATAAACATACCAATACTTAGATTAACACTTCCATATAGTTTACAATGTTTAATTTAAATACAGTATTATGTCTCATTGACTTGTTGATTTAAGGTGCAATTTATCAAAACCTACAGTAAGTATTTTCTTCTTTTCTTGATCAGTTCTCTTTGGCACGCTTCTGGTTTATTTAAATACAAAAGTGTAAGACTGAATTGAGTATATAACACTGCAGGAACTTGAAGTTTTTTTGTTAGCATATGAGTGCAATTTTAGGTTTACCATAAGCTTATTTACAAAGAACTGTATATGAATTTCAGTTTACCTTACATATAAAATGGCTAACGACTTCAAGGTGCAAGGCAAAAAAATTCGTTACAGCAACTCCTCCCTTGAGAGAGTGATTTTTGCACCATGGAAATCTTGTATAAAATGTTTTAGAAAATTGATATTTCTTATGAGGAAGTTCTTGGTGCTTCTTATCCTATAGGAAGCCACCTGAAGACATGAACTTCTGCATCAGTTTAGATGACACATTGGCACTGTAGTAGTGTTGCAGCTACAAACTTACATGTTCAACTGGCAAACTAAACCAAGGAGCAAAAACCCAACCAGTGTAAAAAAGCTTAGTGACAGTGGCTTCTTTCTAGAAAAAGGTATGCCTCCTATATTTTTGATATTATATCTGTTTTCATTCCAAGGAGGAAAAGTTTAGAATTTGCACTATGAGTTGCTATATCGTCTATTTTCATCTTCATTACTTCTGCCTACTTTTGGGATGATTAATATTTGTTTAGAGTCAAAGGTGAACAACAGTAAACGGACTTATTTCTGCTTCTGATGGAAATGTACTAGGAGGCCATCAAAGTGGACTTAAATCGGTGAATTATCACTTTGCAAAAAGTCTTCAAATGCCAGAAGAGCAAACCCACAGCAATTTATTTCACATCTGAAGGCAAATCCCAGCAGCTGGCATTCACATGAAAGGCATGGGGAAACCTAGCTACCTAAACACTGGGAATTCTTCCATGCCCAACTCTTTCACAATTAAAGTGAATGAAACCCTGCTCACAGTAAAACACTTATTACAAGGCCTTTCTGTCTGTTCCTTCCTGAATCACCCAAGTGGTATCCTCTCAGCTGTAGTAATTAGTATTTTGGCACGTGATCAAGTTACAGTAGGTGTCAAGTACAGTGCAATCTGTTTAGAAGGCAAGGATGTTAAAAGGGATTTCATACAGGTGCTTTGTAATGTGGGCAAAATGTGAAATGCTGTGCGACTCCTGAGTAAAACACGTTTGGCTGTCCCAGCTAAAGTACCCATTTATGAGCATGCTGATTCCAAGAGGCATTTCATAGCCTCAGCAATAGTGTATATTCTTAAAAAAAAAAAAAAAGTATTTTACAACTGTCTTCTTCTTCAACCTATCTATCAGCAAGAACTAAAAGTGGTGAGTTCAAATTGTGGGAGAGGTGATGAGAAGGGGGCAGACTGGTAAAGAGAATCAGTCTGTGTAGTAAATCAAGTGCATGTGAGATGTAATTAATTCTCAATTATCCTTTAAGTTTTTTGAGATATTGCATATGGCCATGTCCTTTAGTGCTCCTGTTCTACCTGAAAGCTACTGGCTTTAGAACTGAGATGTCTGTGTGAAGGATATGGTGTCAGACTTATCCACAGCAAAGCCTCCATTGACGTACGATTTCTTGGTCTCTGTTTCATCATTATCAAGTATTGTTTCCAAGGCAAAAGGATTGACTATGTTGACTTCAGAGGTGATATCCATCTGCTCCAGCTCCTTTTTAGAGAGTTTCTCCACTATACCTGTACCAAAGGCATCTCCCAAGACATTCACCATTGTTCTGAATCGATCCCTATGGAATAAAAATGTTGTCAGACAAACCATTCTGTAAGTTACTTACTTAGAAATTCTTTTAGTAAAAGTAAGCTACTTTAGCGAATGCAGAACTGTTTTTTTTTCCCAGTGCAGATTCAGGGTAATTCTGCAATTAAAACAAAAAAATCTTGCAGAACAAGAAATAGAATTTTCCCCACATGTACTTGAAGAAACCTGGAGTCACTTTCATGACAAATTACTTTCTACAGGGTGTGCAAAACTGTAAGTCATGTCACTAGTCTGTTAGAGCAGTAATCACACTGCTGTGCACAGCCTCACAAAATGTTGTAAAGATCACTTCTCAGGCCCTGAAGTATGCTACACAGCTGGTTCTCTTTGTGATGAGACTGCTTTTGTTGGGAGGAGAGACTGTGGGGTGCAGCAAGACAAGTCTGCATTGTGCCTTTTGTCTTTCTAACAGTAATTTCCTCAGCCAGAGGAGTGCATAGCCCAGTATGTCGTTATTCTGGCAGGAACCCTGGAAATGGGAAAGGCTATCTTCTGTTAGAGTCTCATTGTTAAATGATTGAAGTACAAAGTAGTATTAAACAAGTCACTTAAAGGAATATGATACTTCTGTACTGTTCATTTTTCTCCCAACAGAAATTTGACTTGCAGGCCTTAAAAATCTGTCATTACTACAAAACTATGCAATATAGCAAAGGAGCAACAAAACCATGCAATATAGCAAGTTTGAAAATTGCCGTGAAAGTGAAACAAGGACAGTGGAAGGTCATGCTTCCCTGTTTTTCTTTTCAGCTACACAGCATTGCAAGGGCTTTGTGGCAGAACTAGTTGCTCTGTCTGTGCAGAGGTGATGAGGTGGATATATTCACAAATAGAAGGAACTGCAAAAACAAGAGTGAAGTGAGTTGGCGTGTCTCATATACATAACATATTCCTCTACTACAACTGCTGAACTCCCACACTAAAAAGTACCCATTAGTTCTCCATGTGGAAAGGAAATATATGGCAAAGAAAGGAAGAGTGAGGGGTAAAGTAAAATTCTGGTAAGATCAGTGTGACAAGTGAGAAAATCAACAGCACTGGAAACTCATCTTCCGTAATACTTCAATTCTCAAAATTTTTCTATTCTTCATTGAAAACTCCTCAAGCCTATGTAATAAATCTTTGGTAAATTCAGAATTAACTAGAGGATTGTTAATAAGGCACTACTAGCAGGTTGCAAAATAATACATTTTAGGCAATAAATAAAAAAGGCGAAAGTGTTAATAATCTATGTGGCATCATGATGTGCATTCCATCTGCTGAGGTGCAAAATGCACTGGCAATGATCCCTGGTACATGAAATTAATCTTTAATTTGTTTTACACAGCAAGACACCTTAATCTGAAAAATATCTCAATTAGAATCAGAAACAGCTTGAATTCTTTGTCTGTTTCATAGTGGAACAGATAGCTTCCATGTATTCATATTGTGCCTAAGAATCACATAAATTGTGGACTTTTAAAGTGGAGACAAGATCTGATCCATAAAACTATGAGAAATTACTATGTTCTCCTTCTCTCTTTCTCATTCCCATAAAACAATTAGAGGGCATTGAATAAAATGATTAGGACGTAGATTAAAGCAAACAAAATTAAATATGTCTCTGCACAACACGTTGTTAGGCTGTGGAATTGCTCTCTGCAGGACTTGTGGAAATCTAAAAGTTTATATGGGTCCCAAAAGCAATGAGACATTCATGAAAGAAAAAGAAATCTATTGAGAACTGTTACAACAAACCCCACATCTAGCTCAGGAACTCTGTGAGCTGCAATTTGAAGGATGCTGGGAGAGTACATTGGGAAAAGAACCAATAAATGTTTGTTCTGTTCTTACACTCTTCTTTAGATACCTGCTTTGAGCCAGTGGTTTGTACTGGTCATCCTTAACAAAACTAAACGCCCATTGTGAAAAGAAGAGAGCTGGAGAAAATGACATGATTGTGGAGCACAGCAAACAAACCTACTAGACCCTGTTTCAGACAGATGATGGGGATTTCTGGAGACTGGCATTTTTCTCCATGGCTTGCAAAACTAAGTTATATAATCAAATAAATTTTATATATGTCTGTGAAATACATAGGTTGCTGCCAGAAAGCTTTCCAGAAAATGCTCAGAAAGAGTGGGAGAGGAACAGGAATGCATTTACCTTGAGTGTAAATATGAGCCTAAGAAGAAGACATGCAGAGACTATGAAATGATTAAGATCTCTGCATTGGTACCAATGAAATACCATCCAAGTGGATTTACTGCAGATGAACAAGACTTTGGGCTGAGCACTAAAGCTCACACAGTTTAGGATGCAAAAAAGTTGGATTACAAACTAAAGTTATACTCCTTAACTTGTGAATCCTGCTGCTCTTTCCCAGTGAATCATGGGACAAAACTGAATGCTGATGTCCTTCTGAACACCAGAATACACTCTGTGATTCTTTGGACTTTTGCAAAAGTAGCAGAGAAACATCTCACTGTAAGTTGAACAGAAAAGATTTCTGGTGAAAATGCTTCTTTCCAAAAAAGGCTGCTTAATGGGACTGAGGGGTTTTGATGTGCTCTGAAGTGAGATGGCTGGGATCAGGTATAAGGAATGCTTTCTGAGTTTGCATGTATGTGTTTGTTGATCAAAAGGCTGGGTCTTTAAAACACTCTCAGTGAAGAAAAACCCTAGCAAAATAATGCTGGCAGCACAGACTCATGTACCGCCCATCAGGTATGTGCATGTGGAGTTGAGGATCAGCTTTGCTTAGTTCACGATGTGCTCCACTACCTCTTCAGCAGTGTATGGATTTCATGTGCTTTGTGGAAATTAACTGAGATGTTCTTGAGGCTGCATTTGATTTTTATGAATGGTGTATCAATTTAGCCTAAAATGGTGGCAGCTGACACTCCAGAGGCACTCCTTGGTACTGTCAGATTTGTTTTTCCCGAGTACTATGCTCATGATTTATTAATGCTGTGGCTGCTATTTTAAGGTTGATGTGAGGTTATTCACTGCCATTCCATGCAGTAGGACTTCTCTCGGAATTAAAGCCACTACTACATTCAACTCTATATTAAACAAACCTGCCCATAAGAGGAATCTTTGTCCAATTCCTGCAATAGTTCTAAATGATTATGTTGCTTTCTTTCTCAGACCCACATGTTCCTACACAACTTACATAACCATTAAAAAACCTGGAAAAAGAATTAAATATCAAATGCCTTAAACTTACAGAAGCCAGTCAACTGCAATGATCAGAGTAACATCTTCGGCGGGCAGGCCGACAGCACTCAGTACAATCACCATGGTGACAAGTCCGGCTTGCGGGACGCCTGCAGCCCCGATGCTGGCTGCTGTAGCTGTGACACTAAATCCCAAATAAAACCCAGAAAACGCATTCAGAATAGATGTTGATCACAGAAACTCTATTTCTGGCACAAACAGGCTTATTTCACTGCAAGAAAGAAGCCCCAGTGTTCCAGTTTTCTTCTTGACTAGTATCTACTCAAAGTCTGGTGATAAGTTTATGGGACAAGTCATGTGTAGATACTGTTATGGTTACACTGAAAAGTAACAGGCAACGCATGACTAACAAGCAAACTGGATAGATCAGAGATAGAGGTCAAGTTCGGTTTGCAAGTGTTTGCAGTGGAAGAATAATGGCAATTTCCAGAAAGATGCTGTATACCAGCTGCAGATCCTGGCCTATTCCACCTCCTCATCAGGTTGCACAGGCAAAGCCTTGGGCCAAGAAGCGAGAATGTTTCTGTTACTTCCTGTGCCGTGAATGATAGTTTCAACTTTCCCATGGGGTATCCAAATTTAATGTACCATTCATGAACAACAAAATGCGTGTGATGGCTTTAGTCTTACCTAATGGTAACTATTTGGCCAATATCCAGTTCTAAGTCATTCAGTTGTGCAATAAATACAGCTGCTACTGCTTCATAAAGAGCTGTGCCGTCCATGTTGATGGTAGCTCCAACTGGAAGAACAAACCTGGTAATTCTTTTGTCGATGAAGTTCTTTTCTTCCGCACAGCGGAAGGTGACAGGCAAAGTTGCTGAACTGGCACATAGATAAACACATAAAGTGAGCGCAAGCAACAGCATACCATTTCCCTTATCTTTACTTTTCCTCAGAGCCTGATATGCTCTAAGACCCAAACAGATATCTAAGCATGCAGGAAGGCTGCACCATGAAAAGGCAAAGTAACTTCTGTTATCTTTTCTAATTATGGGAAGAAATAACAAAGTCTTAGTTATCCCCAAAATTACCTGGTAAAATCATCATGATGTACGTAATCACAGAAACAATGCAACAGCTTAAACTCTAGCGAGTCTGTGATTAATGAACTGAATGGCAAAGAACTGTCTCCTGCGAGGAGCAGACTCTGGTGTAAGGCCAGCACAATCTATAGTGCCCTTTTGGGTACTACAGAAATAATGATGAAAGTAATATTTCAACCTCCAGGAGACTGAGAAATGTTCAGGTGAAATCAGGATATGTAACAAAGTAGCAATAAAATCAGAGCACAAACAATGCAATTACTACTAAGAACATTACAGAAAATAAATGTTTCTTTTCTTTACCTGGAAGAAATCATGAGAGCTGTCAGAAGTGCCTGAGCCATCCCCATAGCAAACCGAAAAGGATTTTTCCTTACTATTATTAAGTAGATCAGTGGCAGAATTACAGTGGAATGGATTGCAAGTCTGCAAAATAAAATAGACTAGTTAAACAAATGTATCCATCTCATCACCTTGTTTCAATAAGCTGGTGATAATAGGTATCTAGCTCTGTCCTCAAGTACACTTACGAAACACTAAGGTGACTTTAGTGACACATAAAATTTAGAGAGTATACCACCTTAAAAAAACGTGCAGACTAATGCTGTTCTACACCTTCTTTTGGAAGGGAGAGAGAGATTATTAATTGTCCCTCTTTCCAAAGTAGAACAAATATATTGGAAATAATTTTAAACTGACGAAGATGAGAAAACAAAAGTAATAAATAATATTTAAGCTGATATGCAGAGGGTGATTTGAAATAAAACTAAAACACTCCACTCTCCTGCCAAATCCTTACAATGCAGACTAGAGACAAACCAGAAAAACACACCAAATTATTTTTCTAGGTTTATCTGCCTTTATTATAGAACACATTTTGGAATTAAAAGGTAAATATTGTTCCCAGTCAGGGACAGATGAAGTCAACACCATTCTGCAGAAATTTCAAACACAATCCTATAAAAAAAATCCACATTTACTTTGTGTAAGCTAGGTCTACAATTAAAATGTAGTGACGTATTTCAGACTGTACAAATCAGATATATGTGTCTTTTTAAACTTGACATGCAAAAGATCAAATTGCTGTCTTGACTTTAGCTGCTCAGGTGTATTTGCCCGGATATTTGTGTGGGTCTCAGGGACAAACTCATCTTCAACTTGTGCATTAATTTTGAACATTCTGCATTAATCCTGAATGCATATGAATGCAGAGCTTTGTGGGCATTAAGATTAGAGGTAAACAGCCTGCTGTGGGTATATTTGAAATGAAATATATGTGAAGGGCCTGTGAAATACTTCCTATGTTTGAAGGTTGCAAGCAATTATAGCAACATCAGCTGCTTGTGAAAAGTAATTATCATAGCCTGGAAACAAAAAGCCCAAAACTGTTGTCATATATGACCTTGGAATTTTTATTCTGTCCTCACAATACATTCTTGTGAATATTACTGTGTTGTAATAGTGCTTTATGATTTCAGAGCAGCTGATAAAGACAGCAATAAATCATGGTACCATTTGTTCTGCCAAAAATAGGCAATTAAGAGAGCAGTAGCCACAGTACAGAAATCCACAATAGCACCGAAAACCACCCACCAAACCTGATTACTTGTTTCCTTGGAAAAATTATCTTTTTAAAAGCAACAGGCATTATAGTTTTCATTCTGTATGTCAACAAATGATTTTAGTATAAAGTAAATAACAGCATGCAACATGTATTGATAAAATTTTGTAAAGAACTCTAGAAAGAAACCTAACAATTTATACAATGGTGCCTGCGAACAAACTGAATTCTGCAGAACGTACAGACAAAAATATAAAGTGGCATGGGTGTCATTGAGTGTCTTAACAAAATGTCGATGAGAGTAAACATTTCAAGTATGTCTATGTCTATGTTTAGAAGGGTACTGATTTCCAAATAGCTATTTTGAAAAATTTAGATCTGCACTTTTTTAGGGGCAGCATGAACATGGCATTATCCAAAATAAAGTATTTATGCATATCTGCTTTGCTGCTACTGATTCTCATGAAACAAATTCAAAGTAATATTTATTTTCATGCATAGAATGCAACTCACAGCAAGCAGCAGAAATTTTTATAACAAAAATCATAATCAGCAACTGAAAAGAGAAATTCTAATAGTGTTCAATTTTAAGATAAGAAGAATCTTGTCCCTCAGAATCCCAAACTGGCATTCCTTATAGCATCCAGAGATGCAGCTGCCTTGCTTCTTTCAAAAGAGACAAAGGCACAGGCAAGAGAGAGTCAAGAGCGACTGCTTGCTGCATCTTCTTTTTTTTTTCCACCTCAGGCTGAGTCCTCTGGCCCTTGTATGGCCTCCTACTTTGAATTTCCTCCTCTGTGGCTGCTAACATGTCCTCATGCTGACACTGAAACCATTAGAAGTGAGAGGCTGAAGATATTTAGTGGCCAACTGGAGCAGAGGCACTGGGGGAAGCCTGTTCCCTCATGGTGACCTGAATGAGACATAAAGACTGAGATGTGTTGCAGACAGTGGTGGGTGAGGGCTGGTAGGGCTGAGAATGTGAAAGGTCGTGAATAATAAAGCTGGGGAGAAGGTGAGATAGAAGATAAGCCGGAGAGAGAAGTTAAAAGAAAGGAAGAGGAGGATAAGACACACTAGCCCTCATGCTCTTGCACATTTTTCTTGATAGAGAATACAAGAAATATGTTTAAGATAACCTGTAATCCTCAGGATTAAGTTTAAAGGGAGGATGATAGCTACAGAAGACACTGATGAACATAACACACTGCAAACAGACAAGGTCAAACAAATAAGGATGAAAACCAAAAAGATGGTGGGAACAGCAGTGTTTAAGAAACCAAAACAAAGAGCGAGCACAACTTCTCCTCTTTGTTGAGAGGTGGGAAAAAGGGTATTCTTGCAGGCTGGAAAATGCAGGACAAGCACCTTTCCCCTGCAGGCTATAGCCTTGTGTGTACATTGTCACCTTTGCTCCTGTGATCTGATTACAACATGCTCTCCCTGTTGTCAGTTTTGCAGAGAATGTGCTGCTGTTAGCCCTTCTCCACAACACCTGGAACATCACCCGCTGTAGGCCATCCCGTAAGAGACAGAAACGCTACAGAGGTACCCTAGCACCCATCAGGGAAAATCATGACATGTACAAGGGAGTTTGGTGGAAAAGAGACTTTTTCTCTCCAAGGATGTAAAGGTGGGCACCCTTATACAATCTTTTTGGTGGCACCTGGAAATCTGCTTAAAATTGTGTGCCTGTCAAGCCCATGGCTACCAGCTGAATGGGAGATTATATGTGGTGGTAGTTTACTTTGCAATCAAAGTACTCTGTAGCAGGCACTGTGTCTTCCACACACATCTCAAGGAAGATATGCCTTGTCATAGTACAAATAGTAACCATTAATAGGTAAATAGTCATAAAACTTGCCATCAGATCTAAAACTGTAAAACTTGCTATCTGATCTGAAACTGAAGTCAAAGGCCAGTAATAATCCATCTAACATATTCCTCCCCTGAGTTAACTGTAGTTATTAACACAGAAAACCTGCAGAAGTGATATAGTGTCATTCTATAAATGACTTCTACCTAACTTGTGGTCATGGTCTCATTTATCATCTATATAGAAAATATTAGTCTCTTGATTTACAGTCTCTTGGTAAACATCAACTTTCGCATCCTTTTAAAATCTGATTTCTTTTTGAAGTCTAAATGGAAACTCACAAAAAACTGCATTATGCATTAGACAAACATAACTTGCACTCATCTCTAACATTTAGAAAAAGTCCTGATTCAGTGCTATTTCTGGAGCTGTAATTTTTACTTAGAAAGTCATTATATCTCAAATGATTTTTGAACAGCTAGTCCAAACATACTGGCTTATGCATAAAACAAACCAACAACCTTGAAATAAATATATTATCTAGCAAAGATTAATGCAAAAAAATTAGATCCTTCTTGCTTATTTATAGAGAAGTTTGCATTTAAGACTAATACATTACCCTTCTCTCTGCCTGGTTGTCAGAAATTGTGTGAATGATGTTTGAAGAATAGCATGCATATGCATAAAGTGGGGGGAAAGAAGCTCTTGAACAACTTTGGATCTAGCCTCTAGAGAAAACATGAATAAATCCTTAGTATACTGAAGGAATTATAGGAGTGGATGCTTAGGCAATGAACCAAGACAGCCTAGAAGTTATGCTTCACTGAATTGGAAATAGAAATTTAAATGCATTTAAATTATTGGGACTGTAATATCCATATATCTATCAAAAGGGTTCTTTGTAGGATAGTCTTCAGAGATATATAACGATCTAGTATTATAACCTATATCACTTGGAGCGGCTAAGTTGCCCCATCTAAGGCTTCACATCTGCAAGGCTCCACATTGTGCAGGTGTAACCTCTTCCACTCCAGACTGTTCTACACAACCAAGAGTCTAGAAAAAGAATAGAAAAATGTTTTGATGCTTGGCGAAGTTATTCAGGTAGCAACTGCGGCTTTTGCAGCTTCACCAGCTAACTTTTCCTTGAAGGAGTAACTAATGGTGCAATCCCTGGAGCTTCTCTTGATGTCAGCTGCCCACTCTGCACTAAGGTGAGAAGGGATCAGTTTCCTCTTTGGCATCATTTATTGTGCACTGCACTTACTATGCATTTCTATTGGGCAGTGGAGCTGGGCCTAAGCTGGTACACCTTGGGCCCACAGCTCCCATGGAAGTTCCCAACATAATCCAGATATTCATGTATTTTCAATAGGCTGGCAACCCTCAATAAGCCATAATTCACAACCTCACCCTTTTCCAACTTCTTCTAGTATCTAACAGAAGCATTACTATTCTTAAAAATACAATGATACTATCTGTTTCAGCACCAAGCTGAGAAGATGAAACAATGAACATAAGAACAGTCTTTGCATTTTTTTTCCAAATGCAAGGCAGTGACTTTTTAAATCAAAACATGCCTTCAGCAAAACGTGCATTCAAAACGTCCTCACATAATTTTCATTGACAAGAATTTTTGTCTCTGACCTAGAAGAGGTTGGATGTTGTGGGCAATTGAGTTGTAATCAACTAGCTCTAAAAACTGCATACATTTAATTTAATCTTCAAGAAATTACATACCCACTTAGTACTGTAGCCATATAAAGACCCAGTTTACGAAAGATTTCCCAGTCCTCAACTTCTATTATCTTCCCAGCAATTAAAAACACGATACCAATTGGCATATACCTAGAAAGCAAAAATAAAGCAATTACAAATGCATCCTCAGAAATATTGCATGCTCATCACGGAATAATTTCTCGCACAGTGTAACTTTTTACAACAGACGGAAGATTTTTTTTTATATTCTATTACACAACCGAAGATTTTTTTTATATATTCTATTATACAACTGACTTGATTTGCTTGCAGCAAGACTACAATAGAGGTGATGAAAAAAGACTAGAAAATCAGAGTAAATGTAACCCTATGCATATCGTCTAACAAGTACTGTATGACCTGGTGTCACAGAATACAAAGAAGCTGGAAAGAGGTGTGGGCGTTGCCATGTTGCAGCAAATGTTGATACATAGCCATAAGCTTACTTGCAGGTGGAAGTTTGCAGGGCTTAGACCAATATCTGTGCACTCTACAATCACACACAGATGTGAAAGGTCTCCTGTGCTTACAGCAGCTACCCTGCAGCCCTAAGGTGGCGTCACCTCCACACAATAAGAGTGCTTTTAGTATGTTGGGAGAGTACAGCCATCAGAGTGTTGCTTCAGGGAGTGGACCCCATCTCCCAGTAAACTTAGGCAAGGCCATGCCTTACAGGCATGAATAGCTGCATGGTCTATTGCCTACAGAAAATTCAAGGCAAAAATCAGGACTTATGCTAGCACCAGCTCCACTGCATTCCTTTTGGTACCAGAGAGCAGGCTGTCACAGAGACAAGTTGCCACTTCAGAGCTTTGAGCAGTATAAATTAATTTATAAATTTGTGACTATATAAAATGTATCAATTTTAAAATATAAATTATAAATTTATAAAATGTGTGTGTGCTATCTCACAAATAAAACAGTACCTTGTCCCTGTGTAAAGCAGGGACTCCTAGTTCCCTCTGAGCCCTGAACTTGGTGAAAGCAGAACTAATTCCTCACACTGTCCGCATCAAACTTTACCTTATTCAAGACAACAACTCCCACATCTGGAGAAACACAGGGAGCCTGTAACCACAGCTTGAGGCAGATGCAAGACCATGGACAATCAGCCTATGGGTAGGATCTTTTATTTGCAGCACATGCTGACTCTTAGGTCTCCTTAATCATAATTTGCTGCGGAGTGAGGCAGCCTATTTCATGGGGCTGTAACTCAGCTGGGGACTGAACCAGTTGCCTAGCACGGGACAAGCTGCAGAAACTAATTTACCTTTCTTTAAACGCAGCAAGAAGTCTGCAACTAAACCCTGGACAAGTTTACTGTTTTACAGGCATCTCAGTGTGCTGGAATGGAACAAAAATCCATGGAAGCGCCAGATCTGATAAGCTACTGTTTGTGCGAAACATGTCGATATCAGCAGAGTATTGTAGTAAATGGCATAAGGCAACCCACGTGTATGATCAAACTCTGGAAAGGATTGTGTCTGCTTATAATCCTGATGCTGTAATTGTGATCTGCATGGACAAAAGCTGTGTGAATAGGTTGTGAAGTCCAGCCAAACACTACCAGACGAATTGCTACATTTTTACGTATTTTTTCCTATCTGAGAATATTATAAGAGAATATTGTGAGAGAATATTATGAGAGAATGTTGTCTCACAAAACCTACTAGCCGAAGGTTAATCATGCAAAGTTGTATTTTGCTCTGCACTGTGGCTTGTATATTAATTTATATTTCTAAAGGAACTCAGCTCCAAGTACAGCTATCCTGTGAAAATAATGGCTATGAGGGAATAGTGTTGAAAGACTGAGAAGGGCATGTGAGTGGTAATGCTTTTACAGTCCTCAAATCACTAGTGCACTTGTACTGGTTTGATATAAACCTCTAGCAAGAACATCTGAAAAACTCAGGTTTCTTGTGTACCAATAGGACTGTTCTTCAGTATGTAAGTGGAAGCCCTGTCTCCAATTTCCCCCAAAGGATCAAATTCTGTAGGAAGGAAACTTTTTACCACCTTTTGTTTTAAAGTTGTTTGCTGTAAAGTGCTATGCAAAAGCAAACCTGAAGTATGAGTCTGCTCCTACATCTTCAAGGACAAAACCCACTTAAAGAAGTTGTTAGAAAATGCCAGTGTGTCGTTGGACTTACCACATAATTATCTGAACTATTCTCATTGTAGCTTCATTCAGTGCATTGAAAAAATCCACCAGCACTTGTCCTTTCTCTCCCATTTTCCCAATAACCACTCCAAAAACAAGACAGAAGACGATCAACCCCAGCACATTGATGCCGTCAGAATACATGCCCACGATTTTGTATTCCTGGGTTTTGTTCTATAGATGACATTCAAGAGAAAAAAATTATTATCTGAAAACACTGAATTTATTTTAAAGATTTCTAAAATGAAAATATATTTAGATCTTTCTTTGAAAAGACACGGAGCTCTTCCCCAGTTGCTCTATGCCCTTTCTGGCAGTGGCAAGTAGGCAAGTTCAGAAATGAAGGTAGAACTAAATTGTCTTTGAAAACTTTGTATTTTAAAGCCATGCAAGGATCTGACCAAACCCTAGCAGAGGATAACGCACCCCTTAATTTATGTTGTCCTTTCTATAGACTTCTGACACAATGTATGGTAATGTGTAGGTATCCACAGTCATGCCTTCGATATACTCAAGACTTACTCCCTACTGCAGAGAACAAAACACAGATCATGTTGAATCCTCGTGGTTATTTCTGAACAACTCAAGGGTTTGTGTCTGGATTTAAGATGAATAGTCCACTGTGTAAGGACTGAGACAATGGTGTCCAATTTTGTCCCAAGTTTAAAATCTATTGTTCAGCTGAAATCAGTGAAATTGCATAATTTATAGCAGAATTGGATGCATGTAACATAAAAATCCTACTAAATAGGTAGGTATTCACACACTCCTCTGTCTTTGTGCAGTATGAACATATGAAGGAAACAGTGCAATTCTTCACTGCATCCTGCTTCAGGATTTAATTCATGTCTTTTCATATAGTTCATGTTCCCATGCTCTCATTACTATGAGTTGAAATTCAGAAGGAGTATTTTATTAATGCATGTTGATTTGGTACTGTTCATAGTTCTGTGTTCATATTCTATTGAATTACCTTCTTCCTCTCCTCCAGTGTAAGTCTAGGCTTTATAAACCATAAACACCCATAAGCTTTCCACACTTCTAATCAGAGGCTTGTTAAACCTCTTCTTCACTTTTGTCTCTTTGTATTTTTTTTTGCAGAGTAACAAATTATTAATTAACCAATGCTTTCCATTGTTTTGCTTTTCATCAAAAAAATGTATTATGATTTTCCATTCCTTTCTTTCTGTAGTGCTTACAGTTATCTCATTGCTGCTCAAATATCTTGTGCTTATACATCTAGCCTTTCCACAGTGACTGTTTTCTTTAATTTCTCAGTAAATTGACAATTCATTAGCATACACATTTAATGGAGTATATGAATGGATTATTTTCTCACATCATCTATCATCTTTGGACTGCTCAATTACCTGTGGAGTCCTCTGGTGTTCTTAAACCTACTTGAAGATCCTCATAATCACCTCTAGCATCTACTTACTAAGTTTTGTGCTCTTGCTAAAATCTATCTATGTACCATTTCCTTCCTTGTCTCAATCACTAACCACATCAACTAAACCAAGTTTATTCTATGTTCTTTCTCCCTACTTCATATATTATGAAAGAATACAAGAAAGGTCACACCTCTGAAGCCTCTGCTGTCGTAGCAGTTGTAACGGGTTCTTCTGTAAGTGTGGAGCCATTTTTATCCAAGCCAGTTGTAGCTTCAACTTTTTCACGTTTGGTTTTATACTGGAAAAGTTTTTTAAAAAATTAGAACTTATTTAGAAACATGAGGAAACTGAAGAATGGACAAAGGCAGAGCCTTTGCCTGGTAAAAATAAGGGAGAAATGAACTAATCTAATTTGAAAGTAGCTAACATAGACAAACACGTTATTTCTCAATTCACGTGCACCATCATGGTTCTGTACTTCAGATGCTGTAGATCAAAAAATGATTCACAGATAATATGCTATGAATTCTGCTCCCCAGGCTTTCAGGTAGCCTGTGGAGCTGGTGCAGTCTTGTGGAGGATGAGACACAGCTCCTGACTATGGCAAGGGGACTGTTCACTGGGACAAGTAGTTTGGAGAGAATTGCTGACAGTCACCCCAGGAGAGGTCTGTAGAGCAGATGCACATGATACCAACCAGTCCCCTGGTAATGTGGTGAGCACAACTAATGCCATCATGTAAGGCAAGCAGCCATTCTTTGTGGATGAGCTGGTCACTTGTTAGTCCTCTTTCTCAGGCCCTGAAGGTCCTGTGCACCAAGCAGATGAACTGAACAGATTTCTTCTCCCCCCCCTCCCAGCCTCAAGGGTCCTGGGCACCAGGAGGACTGCTCCCCTCCTTACCGGCCTTGAAATATCCCGGCACCTGGCCAGCCAGGTGGTGGTGATGACCCCACCACAGAACAGGGAAGTGTAACAGCATCCAGAGCACTGTCCATAAAATCAAGCAGTTACAAGTCCTAAGGGGGAACTTGGAGTGGAGCTGCCCCCCCCCTCCCAGCCTCAAGGGTCCTGGGCACCAGGAGGACTGCTCCCCTCCTTACCGGCCTTGAAATATCCCGGCACCTGGCCAGCCAGGTGGTGGTGATGACCCCACCACAGAACAGGGAAGTGTAACAGCATCCAGAGCACTGTCCATAAAATCAAGCAGTTACAAGTCCTAAGGGGGAACTTGGAGTGGAGCTGCTGCTGGACAGTGAGACCGGGATCCGGTGGCCAGGGATGCATCCAGAGCCATCTGCTTCCTCCGAGGACTCAAGGAGTGACTTATACTCTTTTGTATGTTTTTTGAGTCTAGAGTATGATTGTTATGTTGATACAGAAAACCCAGTATTAAGATTTGACCCAATCTGCAGAGGGTCCAGGTCATCAGAAACCATAAGCTAAGTGGAGCTATTGTAAAATTGTAGTACACTGATTCTTGTAGAAATCCTGTGCTATTCTGATTATAAATTCTGTGCTATACTAGTCATAATAACCTGTTAAGAAAATAAAGCTTTAACTGTAACTATGATTTAGTGCTGTCATCATTCTGCCAAGGATCCCTAAAAGAATATGTCTGTCCCCTCAGTGTTGGGTGACAGTAATCAACATATCAGAAAAACTACATGAAGAAGTTTTAAAAACTAGAAATCTATTCAGTGCTGTGCACAGCAGGACAGTTATAATTTCCTGGGAAATGTTAACTATCTCACACACAAACCTCAGATAAACTGGTTAGGTAGCTGCTGGGGAAGTCAAAAAAGGGAAGCAGAGAGCATCACAAAAATCAGTTGATGTATTTACAGATAAAGATGACTGAATCTGAAGTAAATCTGATATATAGACAGCAGTTTCCTCTTTCATCTTGCAAATCTCACTTTTTCTGAAAGATGTCTCAAATAGACTCTACCAATTGTCTGCGTTTTCCTTAAGATAGATCATCAGGTCTGGCAATGGACATTAGATGTGAGACACGTCAGGGTGAGGGCTAAGTTATGCAGACTTCATCAGACACTGAACGTTTTTAAGAACAAGGAAACAAATCCTCCTGACCTGGTTTCCCAAATGGAAACATCTTGTCTTATACACTGCTTGGTTTCTGCACCCAGCTCCTAAACAGTGTCTTTTTGCAAGGGATGATCAAGGACTTAATAGCTGATAACAGAGTGTTTATCATAACAGCAATGAAACCAAGATGCTTTTTTAAAAAGTCATTTTATGGGAGATTAACATACTCCTGGAATTCTCAGAAATAGTTCTTCCCTGACATAGTTTTTGAGGACATAGAAGAAAAATAATTTGCAGTTAGCAATGAAAACTACAGTAGCAAAGAGGAATGTTCAAACTTACCTGTTGAAAACAGGCCTGGACAAGGTTTTCTGGAAACATATTCCTGTTAAAAAATTAGAAATATTTCAACATTATGGCATACTAAGAACAAGTTGTTTACATAAATAAAATTATAAAATCTGCTGCTTGAAAAACAGATCAGGTTGTGTTCCTTTACCCGGAAAGCAGTGTGTTTAGCATCATCAGATATAAAGTCCAAAGAAATTAAGGGTTCAGGACTCCCAGCAATCAGTTGACTGTTTTCTTACTGTTGAATTTTCAGGCTTATTTTTCAGTATTTACCATTTCTGTTGCTAAGCTATTAAACCCAGAGCTCTTTTTCCCTGCTGCATCATCTCCGTTATTTGCATAAGGAATACAGGACACACTATTTTTATAGAATTTGTCAAATGTAGGCAGAAAAAAAAGAGTAACTCTAATAAACACTGTGCTGCAAGAATCAGATATTTGGTGTGTTCTATTGTAGTTTTGAATTCAGAAATTAATCTTGGATGACAGACGGTTCCTATGTGTTATCCCAGGGTCAAGAACCGTTTCTGTACATCGAAAAATTAGGAAATTAGATCAGAAGCAGTGCAATCCAGTTGTGTGCCTCCTTTTCAATTGCCATTTTCAGATTCAAATGACTGCCGAAAAAAGAATTAATTAGGTATTTATTGAATACTCAGTCCAATGCAGAAAAAGGCAGTTTATATATTGAAGTAGAAGTCTTTATCTCCCTTCCAGATCTTTCAAAAACTCCTGCCTTTATTATTCAAGTTTTTAAAGCCAAATTTCTTCAAAGGCAAGAGTAGTTTGTACAAGCCTGGGATTTCCCTTAATCTTTACAAGACTGTCTAGATTCGAGTCTTAACTCTGGAGAATATAAATAAGCAGGAAAAGTAACTATAATTCATTTAAAAGAGAATTTCAGATCTCAAACTCCTAATTTACAGTCTTAAATCTGTTTACAAGAAGTTGAGCTATAAACTGTAGTAAAACCCCAAACTACTCTGAACTACACGACTTCTTACTATAGGAAGACTTCTTGTGCATGGAACTACATCAGCCCTGTGAATATGTGTGGAAATGTTCATGGGGAAGTCACTGGTAACAGATTGCATTAAGTTTTATAACACAGCTGATTGCATAGTTCCCCTCATTGATTCCTGGGCAACTGACCATGAAGAATGAGATGAGCCATCCATGTGCAACCCTAAGAAACCTTTACATACTGCATCTGTTACTCTGCATCCCGCCTTGAGGATGGGAAACGTAACACTGCAATATCAGGTGGTTGTCTACGTTGGATAACACATAAGCTGCCAGTCAGTAACCCACCAACCATTCAATCCTTTCTGGATATTTTGTTCATAATAGGTACATTTTGTATATCAGTTTCTGCAAAGGGGGGAATTTTTGTTGTTATTGGGTTATTAACTGAAGTCTACTGTGTAAAGAAAAATTTTCTTAACAAACTGCTTTGAATATACTCTAAAATGTCTAATCTGGTGGAATACAAGTTATTCTCTCCTTATTCATCTAAACAACATTAGAAAGTATTTTTATAGTATTGCACATCACAACATCATTTGTGTTTGCTTGGACTTCTGCAACAAGGGTATGGAAACTAAAAATAAAACCTTACCTGATCAGATCCAGCATGGCATCAACAGTACTGACTTCTGGGGTACTGCCCACCCTGTCGATCTCACTTGCTGTTTGAGGCACTCCAGGTTTAATGGTTACAACTAAGACAATCCCTGCAGATGGAGAACCAGAAGAAGAGTTCACAGTGCAAGCACAGGCGTTGGTGAATCCTGCCTCAGTGTATCCCATGTAGCTGAATTCTTTGTGAGCTAAATTCATAAAATGCTTTCCCTGGGTGCTCATGCAGGGTTGTTCAGAAAAGGGAAGTCTACAGGTGGTGTCCTTAAATGTGTGGATTACCCCAATGCAGGAGTTACTTGCGGCCTTGCCACTGGACTCGGGTGCTCTAGCTTTGCTTTTGCATGTATGGTACTAAATCACTACTGCTCGCCAAGAGGGTAAATTACTTCAGCTGGGCTTCAGCTGAAATGTTCTGTAACTTTTGCACGGTGATATCTTGAATTGCTATCTACCTTTTCCCTTATGCAGCTCTTCTTGTTACTAGCTTTCAGATACGAATACAAGTGTGTTGTCCTGTGACCCCAAAGTACAAGATGTTTTGCTAAAGTTAGTTAGCAATAAGGTTACATAAGAGAAGGGCTTCAGAAACCGCCTGAAATAAAATATTATGGGCAAGAAATACTAGCTTTGACCTTGTGAATATTGAAATCAATGACAAATTTTCTGTTTACTTTAGTGGCTCCATTTTAGGTATTTTTACTATTATATGAAATACTAGGCCTTCAAAAATGTACATTATTTTTTCTTTTCTTTTTTTTTTTTTTTTTTACCCTCAAATCCAAACAAACCTAAAGCAAATGAAACCAGTACAGTTTGGGCCCAGTCCCAGTACAAACTAAATCCCCTGGCCATGTCCCAGTACAGATTGGTCTATGTCCCAGTACAAACTGGATCTCCTGATCTCTTCCCAGTACAGACTGGGCCCTATCCCAGTATAAACTGGAACCCCTTTGACCCCCTCCGTGTACAGACTGGGCCCCATCCCAATACAAACTGGCAGCTGTAGCCCAGAGCATCTGAGCCTGAAGACAGCAGGGAGTGTGCTGATATTTGGTTTAGTGTTAGGTAGTCCTGCAAGGAGCAGGGACTTGGGCTTGATGATCCTTATGGATCCCTTCCAACTCGAGATCTTCCATGCTTCTATGATTCTATACTAAATCTGAGTATAGGGAGAAAGAGGCATTTGGATGACCCTTCAACCAGCCAGGAACACGGTTTTCTAATAACAGCAATAAGTAAAGGCAGAATTGAATTTGTGGAACTCTGCATGATGAAGCAAGTAATATCACAGTATCATAGAATAACTTAGAATAGCAGGGACCTCTGAAGATTCTCTAGTTTAACCCCTCCCTCAGGGTAGAAACAATTTCAAAGTTAGATACATATTAGTCTTTATTAATTTTCCTCACTATGTATTCACAGAAAATTCCCAGACAGATGAGATAGCCTAAACGGTGTCACCACAGTGATGTATTACTCTCAACGATGTAACCTCTAGAAATTAATCTGGCCTTACATGTCTGTGATTCTTTTTCTATTGTTAAATACTGCTTTGCTTTACAAGTAGACTACATACAATGTACATTTTGCCCTTCAAATAAACACCTCTTTCTTTTTAGTGAGAGATGTCTAGGCACAGTATTCACTCAGGCCCAGCAAAATACAGATAAGCCACAAACTACATAACAGCTGACAGTGGAGGGTTTACTTTTATTTCTTATTTAAGAATGCAGGCTGAAGATGTTTAAGCATATACGGAAGATTTCAAGGTTGCTTGTAGGGAATGAACTTCCTGCAAGTGATGCGGATTTCAGAGAGGTAGGAGAGGAGCCTGGCAGTGACAGAGGAGACAAAAACCCTTCAGGAAGGAAATGAAATGACAAGGAAAGAAATATTTTCTGTCATTCTTTCAGGTGAGACACATTATACATTCTCATATCTGAGAGTCAGCAACAATCTATCATTTTGTTATTGGGGAAATTCACTTTGTAGTTAAGGCTGGCTTTTGATGTTCATTCAGCTTTCCTATTGCCGGTCACTGTTTACCTAAGCAGACAGCTCCTAACTTTCCCTGAGCAGAAATGTATGGTGAAATTGGCTGTGGCTTCTTATTGGATATGAATACAGACCAACTGTGAACAGCAGGACTAACTTCTCCCTGTATCCGACTGCAAGTATATCAAGATGTTTGGTACGATTTCTGTCTCTTCTCCCCATCCTGTCTTGGAAGATTAGTAATGTCACAGTGCTGTATACTTGTAATTAGGCAATGCTGAGGATATTAAAAGTTACAGTAACACAGAGTACCTAATATTACAGCAATGACTGTAGTGCAGAAATAATATATGACTGCTCGCAAACCAATCTTCCCAGAAACGCTGGAATCCAAAGCAGCAACACCTGCAAAAAGAACCACAAAAACAAAACACTAAAAAACAGTCTTAGAAGAAACTTGTTATTTTTGTAGAGACAATTATTTACTGTCTCTTATTTCTATGTAGGAAATTTTTCCTTATTCAAAATATTTCTAAATACCTAATTGCCGTTGCACTTCTGAAAAATGTCTGTAGCAGACCAACATATTTGCTTTTGCTTCTTTGTAAAAATCTGGTTTCCCTGAATTTTTCTAGGAAAAAGATAACTGAGCTGTTCTGACTCCTTGATGTTTGTGATGAATTAGACTTCTTTGGTTTATGAAAGTATGTTACAATTTATTTCCATATTCACTTAAATAAAAGGCTTCACTTTCTTCAGATCTGTAACATTTTGGCTTTAAAACGAAAAGCCATGTGAAGGGATCTGCTCAGGGCTGTTACCCCAGGTTGCTCAAAGGCACATACAGGCAAGTACGGCTCATTCCTGGTAAGTTCGCCTTCATTAACAGGTTTACTGGTTTTTTTGGCCTAAAGCTTTTCTGGAGTCTGGGCTGTTCCTACTCCTCCACCTGTATGTGAGGTGGAGAGGAACTGAGGGCAGCTTTCGTTAATGAAGGTTGGGAAAGTGCTGAGGCAGTTAGTATATTGAGGTCAACTTAACTTCTGGCAACAATATTATATATCGAACTGCTCATGAAGTATTTTTTAATTGTTTAAAAGATTTAAAATTATATCTGTACACATACAATTCAGTAACCAGGGTAAAATGAGCATTGTGAATGTAAAACTTGACTGTCTATAACCACACTAGTTAATAATTCACTGCTATCTCTTTATTATACATTCGTGATCCGTTTATATTTTTATGTTTACTGAGTCAGATTATCAAAGACTTCCCAGATTCCCTTGTATAGGAAAGCAAAAATACCACGAGGATATTTAACCTCAGAGACGCATGATTTTGTAGGAAAAAAAAATAAATTTCAAAAATTAAGGAAGGAAAATCAGAAGATCTTTCTGACACAAATGTAACATACTGATCTTTGAGCTCAAGAAGGATCTTAGCAAGCATACTTTAACCATGTGTTGATGTCTCTTTCAGAAGGTATATTAACAGCAGTAACAACTTGTGCCTAGAGCATTCATATAATGCCTTACTTGTTCTGTTAATTGTTATTCAAAATGCAAACAGTACTGGGAGGGGAGAATGAAGGTTACTTTATTTCATCATCTATTTGATTATTATGGGGTCTTCCACGGGACAGCATATCATCGGACCAAGTATAGAACTACGTATACATGCAGAAATCGTGATTCATCATCATGAAGATGATGAAGACTATATCTGACTTGTATAGCAAATAAGGATAATAGAAGAACTATTCATATGGAAAGGGAACACAGGCCAGTGCACAGAAAAAAGCAATGCCACAGTCCTTATAGCAGGCTGTCAGCACTAAGGATATTGTCTGAGGCACAAACAACAGAATGGACACAGAATCTGGGCCATCATTTTTATTTCTCATCTTGGGAACTGGGAAAAAACAGGTAGAAAGGACAACTTTCACATTGCTATGGGCTCAGCTGTGGAAATTATGGCAGTGAGCAATCTTGAGAATGGATAGTAATAAATAATGGATTCTGTGGACAACAGAAGAGCTGGTTTCAAAGTCTGTCAATGTTGAAACTTTTGCACCTGATGTATTGACTTAGAAGACTTTACATCATGTTTTTAAAAGAGAGCAAACTGGTATTGCCACAGTTCCATATCTTTTAATGAAAAGTTCATAAAAACTAGAAATCATGGAAATGTTATCTAAAACTTGTTGTGTTGACTGTCAATAGCGGTTAGACAGACAGTGGAGGTAAATAATAACCTTTTCATGGGATGGAGTGCTTCACAAAGCTTGCCTTAAGATTTTTTTTGCCTGAGAGTTGCTGACTCAGCCATAGCCTAAAAATCATGCAAGGTTATTTCCCTGGAGTACTCGGTGATAAAGATTCTACAATTAGTATGACACAAAGTCCCTGTGACATTCATTCTTCTGGCTCCAAATGAAATCCCTTTGCAAACTGTTATGCTCAGTGGAGTTACAGCTGTATAATTAAAGGAAAACTTTGCCCCTGCCTTTTTAAACTGGATAACGACCCTGTTTTAGTGAGCTGTGCCAGCATCCAGTTTGTGTTTCCACTGTCATGTTGGTACTGTTTTGCTAGTAGCTATAAAAACATGCAAATCAGTCAGGCAGACACGACTGAATAAGTATGAGGACGTTCTGGGGATGACAGGTGTGGGTTTTGGTTTTTTTTTTTTTTAAAACTCCTGTACTCTGAAACAAAACTGCATTCAGGATTATAATTCCATTTAGAGAATGGAAATAGCATTGACTACAAGTGCCACAGACACAGGTTTGCACTGGGTGCTTTATGCTGTTGAGCTCCTTTTTTTCATGTTAGCTTGTTATGCATATTAAAACAGATAAAAAGATATTTCCCTCCAGTTATATCCTATTGTCATTAGCAGCAATCAATATATATTATAATTGATAGATATCTTCTTCTCAAGCCAACTGAAAATTAAGGTTCCTTTGAAATAACATCATGGCTGCATAATTTCTTTGGACATAACTGAAAGAGTTAATGGATGATGTATTAAACAAAGCATACAACTAACTGATTTAAGTTCGTAAAAAAACTTCTCAAACTAAAATGGCACACCAGCTACTCAAAATGGAAAGCCTGCAGTGTTGGAAGTAAAGATAAGATCACAAAACCAGTGTAAACTTGGGTATCTACTATGGATTAGACTAAACTTTAATAACGATTTTATTTGCTTTTTTCCTCCCTCAGCCTAGCCCCAAATTTTAAATTGTTTAAACAGTTTTGAGCAGATAGATAAACTGTAAATGTAGTCTATTGTACAGAATTTAAATAGGCATGATGGATTCACCTCCATCCCTGGGTATTTCAGAAGTGGAATATTTCAAATTAATTCCTTAAATTTTCCTACAAGAGATGTTCTAATTCACCTACAGCTACTGAAGCATGGAACACAATTTTGTGGCTGTGATACATAAGACTTAAGGGAAATGACCACAAAAGACACCAACTGGTGTTAAAATCTGTTAATCTATCTACCTCTCTGCCCATATTATTTTAGCAGAACAGAGTTAAGGTTTTAATATCTGAAGTCAAATTTGGGAATCAACTGCCTAGTCTTCTGCAATTCAGCTTCGATGTTTTCTATGTTAGTCTCCAACTCCAAGCTCTTTGTACTGTTTTTCTCTTTTTGCACAATTTTCTCTGATTTGCAAGACGTACACTTGTAAGAGAATAATAAATGAAACAATCAGTGAAATCAAACGCCTCACATCCTTTCTTTCTTGTCCCAGGACCTCAAAACTCTACCAAAATGAAATGCTGTACTGTATATGAACACTTTTTTTTTTTTTTTTTTTTTTTTTTTTTTTTTTTTTTGTGGAAAGAATGGGAGGATAAATAATAAGACTGATGATAACAATTTTGTTTGACGGAGTATTAGAAGGCATAAAAGCATAACAGGGATGAGGATGGTACAGGACCCTCAACAAAACAGAAACACATACTTTTGGGTAAGATACACAGACATCCCATTTTAAATGCTTGGGAAAAAGGAAAACTCTAATCCAGCTGTTCCTCACATTGCAATAACTTTTTTTTATTCTGTATATGGCCTTTTTTTACTTGAATCTTTTGTTTGGTATTGTCAGGAAGCCTACTAATTTAATTTAATTTAATTTTTATAGCTGTTATGTTTGCCCCATTACCAGAGGATTCCCAGGACTTTCTTCTTTGGAAAATGACCATAAAGGAGGACAATATTGTGAAACTTGCGAAAAAAAAAACAGAAATGGAAAAATGGAATGATTACAACTGACCAGTTTGATCCTGTGTTGTGTTCAACTACCAATTTTTGCATGTGGAATATGTTGTGTTGCCACAGTTAAAGACATATAGCTTCTCTGACTCTTACTTTAGAACCCCTGTCTACCTGGTTAAGTGCATCAAAGCAAGAGTCCTGTTAAGACTGAATGATAGCACCATCAGCCATCTGTAACTTTTGAATTCTCTCTGAAATTTCTTTCATAATCTTGTTTTGTTGTACATACTTAGAGCTGCTTCCCTGAAATGCTACAGTATAAAGCTATTTTACGTAAGAGAATAGTCTGATTTAAACAAAACTGAGCCTAAACATGAAACATGGTGTTCCAGAAATTTTTACCAGTAGCCACTGATGGAAGCATGAATCATTCCTTCAGTTTCTCATAGACTTAAAAAAATTGCACTTTAGTCTAACACAAGGTTGCAACTTCATGAAAGACCAATATTTACTTGTCCATTTTCTCTCTGACAAGAGAGATTTTTTTTCCGTTTTGGTATCACAGGGGAACAGAGAATGTTCCTAAACAAAGCTATAATTTTGAAAGTGCTGGAAAAGTCGTAATGAAATCTTGAAAAATCATTGAAATATATGTTTCAGTGGTACTGACACTGTTGAAGATTCATGCAAATCCAGGAAACAGTTTTCTGAAATTTTGTGATAAACACTTGTCTTTCTTTGCCTTGGTGCTTAGAAATGTTGTTTTGGAACATTCTGAACACAAACCAGTCCTCAAGTTTTTCTTCCTCGTCCTCTCTTCTGATGCTAATGACAACTCTACTCCCATTAAATATAGGAGTGTCTTTCCTCTACTGCCAAGACAGTAAACCTCTTTTCACTGCTTCCAGGTTGGTCTACAGCTTTCTTATTGTTTCATAGTAATGCAATAAGATTCTCAATTATTTCTGTACTTCCCTTTTAGTTTTCAAAACCAGTTACTGAGATCTTTGGGAATACAAATAACGCATAATGTTTCAGGTAAAAGAAATCAAGTAGCTCATCAAAAACACTCTGCAGATACTGGACTCAGGTAATCCATCCAGACAAATTCATAGTCACAAACCAGACCTGTCCACTACTCCCAAATGGCCCCTGAAATTT